CCCCCGGAGGAGCTGGAGGAAGTGTCTGGAGAGAAGGAAGTCTGGGCATCTTTGCTTAGACTGCTGCCCCCGCGACCCGGTTCTGGATAAGCGGAAGAAAATGGATGGATGGATGGGTTAGGTGGTGAGACCGTGGCCACCCTTGGCCACCCCCTAGCTCCACTTATGCTACCTTTGTACCTGTCCCGCCTCCTGAGTCGGTAGGCAACAGGTCAAATTGCTGTTATGCAACAGATCCTGCTCCACTTCTGCAGAGTCACCACACGACAAACAGTAAGTTGACCTGTAAAACTGCGAATTACTGTGTATTTTTGAAAATATATAGTTTAACTTTTTTGATTTCCTGAGAGTTGTCACATGGCTGCCTGATGTAGCAACATAAACTGTGACATTTATCTACATGCACATTCAGCACTTTTACAATTTTACTCAAAGTATTGCTGCTTCCTCTCGACATTGTGTGTGTGCAAGGCACAAGTATGCTCCAATCAGCAGCAGTGTACAAGTTGTTTATTGTGTATAAACCTTTTTATGCTACACTTTTGAAGAATACTTTTGACAGATGCAGTTACTTTTTGTCTCTCCATGTACTGTATGTTGTTTTCTTCTATATATACTGAAAACTAGAACTGGATTGAAATGGTGTGGAATATATCTTGTTTATGATAAGATGAAAGATAAGGTGAACCTTTATGGGTCCCACAGCAGGGAAATACGCAATTTATTTAAAACAAAATGGTGAACAAATTCCCGTCTTTTCCACATTGTCCGGTTGTGAAGCGGCAGAGATGGTGCAGCTAATGGACAGTGAGGTGTTTATGGCTTTCACCACCTATGCTGCTATTGTCGTTCTGAAGATGCTGCTGCTGGCCCCTATGACCAGTTACTACCGCATCACCAGAGGGGTAGGTGATCCTTTGTTACAGCAAGAGTTTTCATAATTGTATGCACAATGTGTAAGGTCCCAGGATGGTTTGGACCCATGAACAGCTCCACAGGATGTGAGAGTTGGTAACAGGGTGCAGGATGTGACCTCCAACGACGACCTGCTCCCAAATTCACCTCTTGCTTTACACTCTCTGACCCTGGTGAACGTCATGTACACAGTCTATGTGAGGCATGACCCAGGGTGTGCAAGAGAATGACTAGAAAAAACTTTTTAATGCAACAACTCACTGTATTTACTGAATGGCTTGTGCATGTTCTCTTTATGTATCTGCATTTCTGTGTTATAATACAGGACCTCTCATCTTAGCTGGTATGCAGCATTTCAATCAGTGCAGGGTTCTCTCACCCATGTAGGCCTTCTCTAATGAGGAAGATGTGGCTGGAAAGTCTGCAGAGGAGAAGAAGAAGCTTCTGAGAACCCATCCAGATGTGGAGCGAGTCCGAAGGTGAGATGAGCTGCAGATGATTCTGTCAGAACAGTTGATTTTCAGAAACACCATGTGGGATTTGTACAGATGACAAAATCATGTTGCAAGAGTAAAGAAGGAATTCAGGTGATGTTGCAATAGTGACAAAGTCCTCGCGGGGACAAAGAGTGTCATTCCAAATTTCTATATCCCATTTCAAACCAGCAGTCGATATTGTTTCTTTCAACCATGTCCACTCCATGTGTTTATAACTGTCACCACGACCTTTTCTAATCCTGACCGACATCTTGTTGTACCAAAACCCAACCAAACTTTTACCATAACTTGTTGCATCATAAAAGGGAAGATATTTGTTTTTCTGCAGTGATTGTTATCAGTGTATCTGCAGCATACGTAAGGCTACTGCAGGGCTGCTAACACAGGATGCATTACAACAATAGATCATACACTACACGAAACTCAAAGTACATGAATGGCTGAGTTTATTGTGAAAAGCTAAATAAGGTAATGTAGTGCAAAGGGTAAGAACAGTAAATCAGGGTCACAGAGAACAAATGGTAGAGCCAGTGTGTGCTTGGCTCCAGATCCCGACACACACACCAGGTAAGCAGGTGTGGAACATGAGTGGTTGGAAGCCACTGCCACTGTTGCACCCTACGCTCACAGTCATTATCAAATGGACAGGTGAAAAAAGTTTCACGGTCAGTTTGGTATGTTGTAAACTACCAAATGTATGGACTCCTAACTTTACACTATAAGTTGTCTTGACTTACCCTTACAGGCTACATGAGTTAGTCCCAGTGTGGTGTGTGTTGCTGTTGTCCAGGTGTCACCAGAATGATCTGGAGAATGTTGTTCCCTTTGTGATGATTGGCCTGCTCTATGCTCTGACCGGACCTGAGCTGTCAGCTGCTCTGCTTCACTTCCGCCTCTTTGCTGCCTCTCGGATCTTCCACACCATTGCCTACACCTGTGCTCTGCCTCAGCCCAGCAGAGGTCTGTCCTTTTTGCTGGGATTGCTGGTCACCCTGTCCATGGCGTATAGGGTGCTCAGCGCAGCCCTGTTCCTGTAGAGATGGGACTGGACCAGCAGACCGTGATTTCTTCATGCAAACTGACATTCCTCCTGCTTAAAGTAGAAGCTTGATTAAACATGATGTGCATTTATTTGTTGACTTGCATCGCTGAATTACTTTGCAGAAAACCTACTTAATAAAGTATGGTGTTGAGTCTGACAATGGAAATCAAGTCAAGTCAAGATTTTTATTTGCCATTTATGCATAAACAGACAGTCTAGGCATATAGGAATTCTTGTGCAGCTCTCCTTTGGAGTCAGGTAAGGCGTCAGAAGCCAGATGAAGGTTAATCATGTAAAATGAGTAGAATCCACCCTGATGTAGCTTCAGATGCAGCCAGCCAAGACAGGAATCTCACCCACATTGACTTTAAACTGGCTGGAATTTGCAAATACCAGTGTAGAATAGGACTGAGGCAACGGTGTTACAGCCATCAGGGCTTGTCCTACAGATTACACAACCTGATATGCGTCAACCATATTTCACCATATCCACATACTATTTTATTTATCTTATTTGAAAACAAATCTGAATCATTACACATATTTCATAATTCAGACAATTTTACAGTAAACGATTTAGAGTGAATTCTGGAAGATTTAAGGTTGTTGTTGTTTTAAAGTCGGTCTGGTTGTTAAACCTGTTCTGGTGCTTCCCAACCTCGGGCTCTTGTCAGGAAAGCAAAGTGGTCTGAGCAGGTGTCATTTTGAAACCTAACCAATCCTATTCCTTTGTCATTTCATTGGGTGGGACGTGCACATGCTCATGTGCAGAGGCAGGAGACCATGACAAACTCGCAAATAAAATCCAGAAGGTGGCGGTAACGCAGCCGTAACGATATCAGCTGCAGTGAACCTCGATATAGAAGAAGAGTTCTCTTCTTCTACGCGCAGCTGTTTCCGTCTGTCTTGTCCACGTCTGTGTCCATTGTTTTTGTTTATCGCATATGTACCGAAGATGTCCGAAGATCTGCGGCCACAGCTGGAGGAACATCTGCAGAGTCTTAACATCCGGACGAGCTGCGTGGAGCACCCGCCGGTAACACTGAACCCGAAACGCCTGCGCAGGTTCTGAGTGAATCAGACAACAAAGTCCAGACTTTTAAATCATTAACAGCTTCGCACTGGGGTAGATTTAAAGTTTTAACTTTACCCGGTTCTTTTATCTGAAGGCCCCAAGAAGTAACACTCAGGAAACAGGAATCAGCTTCAAGTAGATTTATTTTCTTCTGGTTAAATGCAGAGTTATTACAGCGCTGGGCTCTGAGAGATGACAAGTCTCCAAGAGCATTGATTATCAAAAATCATTCACATTTATCTTCTCGGGCTGGGACTGCCCTGTACACGGGTGGTACGTTACACGTAAATATTGTAGTATGTTCATATAGGCAGTATGTGCGTGTGTGTGCGTGCGTGTGTGTGTGTCTGTGTGTTGTTATCTTCTATTTTCAGGCGTTTCTCTCCAACTGAAAGTGGACATGCAGTTAGCTGTGTCACTTACTTCCCTGATTCTGTTGTAAAAAAACAACAACCCCTTACTCATGCTTCAGACATGAGTGACCAGTTCAAGCCCGTCAGACATCATGTCTGTTAAGTAGCATAAATTAACAGTATCTTATCTATAGTTTCCAGAACGACACTTATCTATGCAATCTATTCTTGCACAATTTTCCAAGAAGATGAAAAATACTACAAGTTGACTCAAAGCTGAATATTATAACTTTAATGCATGTATAAGAGCCAGGTTAATACTGATACATGGTGCTGCTAATGAAACACAGACAGTCATACTAAACTATCATTATAAAAGCAAAATAATACTAACAGTAAATAAAACAACTGTAATTCCTGAAATCCAATCCTAACAAAAGCAGAATAACATTTATGACGTAAGTGACCGTAGCTGTGAGAGGAATACACTGCTGGAATAGTTCAATCGAGAACAAATCGCCACTGAATCCCTCTAGGATATGGCGCACTTTACGGTTTTCTAACTTCCGGTAAATTGTTTTACCACCCTGAAACATACTGAGACAAACTTATTATATTGTTTGGATTCACATTGTTATTCGGCTCCACATTGACAAACTGCAACATTAAAATACTGTGAAAAGCAAGAGTCTAACATAATGTAACAATACACCAAGGTTAAAGGAGACACTATTTTTATCTTTGACACTTTAAACACATTTGGCTAACAATATCAAATCAAATTTTAGTTGTATAGCGCCAAATCACAACAAAAGTCATCTCAGGACACTTTACAAAGTAAGGTCTAGACCTTACTGTTATCACTATTATTACATAGGGAAAACCCAACAAATCCCCCTTGAGCAAGCACTTGGCGACAGTGGGGAGGAAAAACTCCCTTTAACGGAAGAAACCTCCGACAGACCCCGGCTCTTGGTGGGTGGCCTTCTGCCTCGACCGGTTGGGGTGAGTGGATAGAGGAGAGACAAAAGAAGAAAAGCAACAAGACACAACAA